CGCAAAAAAACAATTAAAACAAATAAAAATGGAGAATACTAATTTTTCCCTCAGCTTAAACTAACTTGCTCACTTGTTTCCACCATTGCTCTTACAAATTTATTAAAAATTATTCAAAGTGTTAATTAGAATGTCTGGCACATAGTAAAACCTCAATGAATGTTCTCTGTTATTAGCTGGATTTGGATAGAAACAGTAGTACATAAAGTCAAGAACATATTAGGAATCAGATGCCTGGATTCAAGCTTTGTCTCTTGCACTAAATCGTAGTGTGACCCTGGGTAGTTGCTTCACCTCATCTGTAAAATAGGAACAATAATAGTACTTAGCTGAGATAGACTTTGTAAAACAAACAAACATGAAAAACAAATGAGCTACCAAAAAACCAAACCAAACTTGATGTCAAGTCAATTCTGACCAGTAGTGACCCTATAGGGTTTCCAAGGCTCTAATCTTTACCGGAGTAGACTGTAACATCTTTCTCCCACAGAGGGGCTGGTGGGTTTGAACCTCTGACTTTTCGATTAGCTGCCAAGTGCTTAACCACTGAGCCACGAGGGCTCATGTAAAATCTGTAATGTTGTTCCTGGCACATAATAAACATCTGAATTACAAAGCGTTAGCTGCCAGGAGCTGTGCAGGTAGAGCTGCTACACATGTGTCTCACAGTCAGCCAGGCAGTATTTATTGAGCACTTACAATGAGCCAGGCACTGAGGGACACACTGCTTAAGAACAGACAAGGCAGACATGGTCCCTACACACACATCACTTTGTTGGGGGTTATAAAAAAAAAAGGTGGAGGTTAAACAAAATAATTGAAGGTTGTAAAATATACTAAAAATATACTAATAAGAGACTGATGCAGAAATGTGAAAGGAATTCTCTCTTTAGGTAGGGGGTAAGGGAAAGTCTCTCTTAGGATATATATTTAAAGCGGAGGCCTCAAAGAAGAGGAATCAGCTATGCGATGGGTTTGGAGGGGGCATTTGAGGCAGGTGGAACAGCATGTGCAAATGTCCTGAGTTGGAAAAAATTTGTTCCATAGGAGGCGTGATGTAGCCTAGAGTGGCTGTAGCATATGTGTAAGGAAGGAGAGTCCTGACAGATGTGACTGTGACTGAGGAACTAGCATGGCCTGGCACACGCAGGCCTCATACATAGGCGGTGGAAAGGGGCTTGATGCTCATTCTGTTTGCAATAGTAAGTCACCAAAGAATCTTGAGAAGTGGAGAGGGGTGATTTGTTTTATACTTTCTAAAGGCCACATTTGCTGCTTTGTAGGGCAAGGTGTCTGAACTTTTAAAATCATGTACACTAATCAGCATGCAGCTCTAAAAATTTCATATTATCTATGTAGCCATCTATCTACCTATTATCCATCCATCCGAGTATGACTGTAGTTAGTTACATTGTCATTGTTAGTTGCCATCAAGTCAACCCTGACTCATGGCAATCCCAGTGTAGTTATGTTGTTGTTGTTGTGTGCTGCCTAGTCGATTGTGACTCATAGCGATGCCATGTGACAGAGTAAAAGTTCCTCATAGGGTTTTCTTGCCTGTCATCTTTACAGAAGAAGACTAGCAAGGCGGAATTTTAATCTTTTATGTTAAAATTGTTGTTGTTGTTGGTTGTTGTTGAGTCGACTGCGACTCATGGCGACCCCATATGTGCAGAGCAGAACTGCACTCCATGGGGTTTTCAAGGCTGTGACCTTTGGGAAGCAAATTGCTAGGCCTTACTTACTAGGTTCCTCTGGGTGGTTTGAACTGCCAGCCTTTTGGTTAGTAGTCCATCGCTTAACCACTTGTGCCACCCAGAGACCTGTCTTAAAATAAATATATCAAAAAGTTCTATTACTTAATCTCTGCATGGAAATGGATCATTTTGCAAGTACTTGTACCCCACTTTGGAGATGACTGTTATAGAGAAAGGCTGGAGCAGAGCAGTCGTGGATTAGCAAGAGCAGTAATGAGGTTATTGTGCTCATCCAGGTGAGGAACCACAGTAGCTTAGACTAGGGTGGTAGCAGTGGAGATTGTGAGGAATGGCTGCATTTAAGATACAGTTTTCATATGCATAACGAAAAGGGTCCTTATAGGAAATACAGGTCTTATTACATTACCTTAATAAAGGTTGTTGGATTCGTTAGTGGATTGTTGGATTGAAAACACCTTGAAATAGACTAGACCACATTCCTCTATGATTAGCCTAGTTCTTTAAGTCTTCTAGAAAAGGGGGGTGGTTTAGGGAATTATTGGTACTTTCCCTTCAATGCTGACAAACGTCATTGGAGAACAGAGCCATAGGAATTGAAATAAATTGATTTAAAAAAAATTTGGAGCCAATTTCATCCACATCTGTTTAAGCCTTTTCTCAAATACACAACTAAAATCAGACATTAAAAAATGCCCAGCCTCTATGAATTACCAGCACATGGGCTGCAAATGCCTCCACATTATACGGTTCATTTGGATAGGTGTTTTTGGAAAGATGAAAGTTCTAAACTCTGAGGAGAGGAAAAATACTCCTACGAGTTTTCTTCAGGAAGAGCTTCATTTTGAAATAAACAAAAAAAGAAAAAAGAAAAAGAAATTTTGCTAGGACAATAGTAGATTAAGGCCAGAAAATTCAAATTTACTAATTTCTTCTTTTCCACTTTGCTTTACAGTCCTAAATCTGGATAGGAAATTATTTGGGTTCTGACTATTTGATCTGGTTTTCCTCTCTTGGAGGAATTCCCACACACTTATCTAGAATGGAAAGGAGGTTAGCAGGGCATAGAAAGAAGGCATTAAGCAAACAATGCTGCAAACCTCTGAAAACCTTTCTGAAGAGGGAAACGGCTGCCTTGGGCTTGGACAAAGAGCATTTGCCTTTTTGGGAGGAGGAAGGACCTCTGGCTCTCCTCTCCTCTGTCTGGACCACAGCTTGCCAGACAGTGTTCCCTTCTTAGGAGGGTACAGGCCTGGGTAGTGAAGGTGCTTTTGGAAGAACAGTCTATCTCCTTTAATAATAAACAGGACACTCTTTTGTTCTTTTAGGTACTCAAGCTTATTGACTGAAAAGCGTGCCTTCCTTGCCATTTGTACTTTTCTTAGACTTTAGAGAATAATAATCCATTATTAGCACTACCTGTTGCTGTCCAGTTGATTCCCATCGATTCTGACTCATAGCGAACGTATAGGGCAGAGTAGAACTGCCCCATATGGTTTCTAACGAGTGGCTGGTGGATTGGAACTGCCAGTGTTTCGGTTAGCAGCCAAGCTCTCAACCACTATGTCACCAGGGCTAGTCTTTTTATAGCACCACTCTGGACTGGACTGGTATAAGAGAGGTTTCTCTTGGACAACACCAGAAAGTTTCATTAATTTAGGAGAAATTATCTATTATATGTGAGGATTGCAAAGGAACTTCAGGATATTTCAAACCTTAGAAGCAAATGGTCTATTTGACAAAGGCTCGGGTTTTGAGAAATTCTTTATAATTTTCAAAGCCCATTCGCCTCCTCTAAATCTTCATCTGAACTTTTGAACTGTAGCAGGGGAGCTGGGCTGAGCAGATACTATCATCATACAAATTACTGTATAGAATTTTAGGAGTGGAAGGAACTTTAAAGGTCAGTAACACAACCATTAGGCAGGCGAGAGATTGTGACTTGTCTAAGGTCCCACAATAAACTAGTGACGGGGCACCCCAACAGCCTTGAACTTTGCTAATAGAGATCTCAAGTCAGGTGCTAGTAGCTCCGGACTAGGCACCAAATGGCCCAAGAAAAATATAGCTTCATGCTTCCTTTCTGTATTTATTCGACATGCAGATATGCAAAAGACTCACAATAATTATTTATTCATTTAATGACTGCCGACTTTCCTACTGTATAGGGCACAGTGCCAAGCACTGGGGATAAAACGGCAAACGAAGTAAATGGGGACACTTCTTCCAAGTTACTCGCAATTTGGTCTTCCTCCCCTCGGAGAGTATGAAGTCTCTCAGGAACGCCAAGATAACACGCTCAGAAAACACTTAGGGGAAAATTAAGCTGAGGAAAGTGCTCTCTTAAATAGGATTAAATGTAGGAGATTGGGTTTAAAGACAGTG